GTTGGTGGCAGAGGAGAGCTCCGGCTTCACTTGGGCGGAGTTTCGGCGTCAGGAGGGAACTTTGTTGTAAATTGAGAAGAATTTCAGCATCACGTGGAAGTTTGGCAGAATTCCTGCGTTCTCCCGAATATCACCCAAAATCCCGGCATGTTCGGGAGGCAGGACGAACTCCGGCGGTGGTCGAGGAGGAGAGGATTCTCCTTTTCCCCTTTCTCCTCTTCTTCTTCTCTCTCTTCACTTGAGTCCCCTTTGTGTAGAATGAGGGCTCTATTTATAGTTTTTCTGGAGTGGCATAGCTCGTAAATATGCGTGAGATCATGGGCGAATTGGGAGTGGTTTGAATGGACGGCTGATATCGAATCCTTTGATCATGCACCGTTTGTTGGACATTTGAAGGTTTTAATGATGTCTGAATTCGGTGATCTTAGGCTCGTTGGATTCTTCTCGTCGAGCCGCTCGATTCGAGTATAAGCTCGTTAAAATCGGAGACCGTTTGGTAACTCAAATTGCGGTTTGAACCTTCCAACAACGCTTCGGGTCCTTGATTTGGACCAATTTGGACTCGGATTGGGTCAAATTTGGTGTCGTTGGATTCGTATTTCTGACACGCTCAGTTTGACTATAAGCTCGCTGAAATCGGAGTTCATATGCTCTCGAATTTAATTTTTAAAGTTTCCGAACTGATTTTGCCTCGAGATTCGTGCCCAATCAAGATAATTTTGTGATGACGTATCAAAACTAGCAAATGAATCAATGAACTATATGTTTATTCATATATACCCATGTAAGTTTCATAGGTATCTAAATAAGTTCATGTCAAGGAGGGGTCCAAGGGTACATGTGCCCACAATAATTCGATTTGTTGTAAAAGGGGTGTAAATAATTCCAAATGTATAGATTTTGGAAACATTGATGTTCTATTTGATGTAAAAGGAATGCAAAATAAAGTTTTGAAGTAAAAGGAATTCATCATCTAGTTCAATTCCAGTGTATTTCGAATTTCTATGATTTCTGCGATTTTCACATACATTGGGAACTCATCGCCAACCACCGACGGCGGCCATTGACTACCCACCCCATCGACTACCCATCACCGTCGACCACCCAGCAATGCCAGCCACCCCACCACCTCCGGCCACCACAGTAGCCAGCCATTCGCCACCAGCCAGCCACCCGTGGCTTGCTAGCTCCCGCCACCGAGCAAACTACCGATAATGTTGGCCACCAATAACTACCTTTTGTACTTTACATTGCATTCATTTTACTTCAATTCAGACAAAAAATTAATCTCATGAATTCCTTCTATAATAATCAAAACAACTCTAAAGTATTTCTTTCACATTGCCTTCATTTTTCATGCAATCAAACATTCCTTAATAAAAATTTGTGTCAATAGAGCTCTTAACATATGAGCTCGCCTTTGGAGTGTTGGATTGAAGATGCACTCATTCTGAACGAGTTCATGTTTACGGCTCACCCAAATGAACTTTTATTTGGTCCGGTGAACGGACGTAGCTCTACGTTCGGTCACCACTAAGATCGCGCCACGTAGCAGACACAAAATCGCAGACCCGACCCTGCAAATAGTGGGTATGTCGCACGTGCGTATTTTAAATCCATGACAACCCGGTATTGCTAGGTATTGCTAGGTATTGATCGATTTTGCTCGGCAATAATGAAAAATACCATTATGTGAAGACAAATACCGAGCAATACCTAACAATACCGAGCAATACTAGAAAAACTCGGTATTGCTCGGTATTGGTCTTCACAGAGCGGTATTTCTCGTTATTGCCCAATACCTAGCAATACCGAGCAAATACCGAGTAATACCTAGCAATACGTGGACATAGCAATCCTGGGTTCCGGTCCGGGTCAAGTCGTCGGGCCGCACGGTAAAGAGTAAGAGCACGTGACGACATGTTATTGATGACCAAATGTAGAACTACATCAGATCACCTGACCTAATAATTATTCCACCCAAATAGGCCTTCGTGCTAGAGGGCACTTGCTCCCCTCTGAATGTTATCCACAACCAAATCAACCCGCCTTTCTTCAACGTAAAGCCACTGGAAGCTTGCACCTATTGGATCCCATGATTGTCACTTCATCGGCCCCCTTTAACTTTATAAATAAAAAAAAGTTAAGAAACATATTTTGAACATTATAGTACCTTATATTATGCTATTTTCATCATGCATAAAAATTGCTGAGCTTAGTTCTTATTCCCAAGCTCATTAATTTTCTCACAGTTATCTCATTCTAACTTATTAAATTGTATTATTATTTTTTAGATCTTCAAGTTAATAGGGCTGCAAATGAACCTATCCGAACAAGTATGCATGTGTCATTTATTTCAGATTCGGTTTGAGTTCGATTCGAGCATTATTGTTTGTGTACAAGTTTGATTTGTTTAAATTAATGGGTGTTTATGTTTGGTTCACGTTCGGTTCGATTCGTGCTCAACGAGCATTAAATAATGAGAATTTATAAAAAATTTATGTAACACTTACTATATCATTATGTTATAATAAATATAAAATATTTATATTACGTATGATTATCAAAATTTTAATAAAATATTAATTAAATTTTTAACGAGCTTATTTACGAGTTCTGAATTAAATACGAATCAAGCTTAATATCGAGCATATTCATGAGCTTTAAATGATGTTATTTAATAATATAAATGAGTAGAACAAATTATTATTCCAAATTGTTTATTTAAGAACCGAATATATGGAGTGTAATTTTAGTAGCAATAGATCTAGTGATTGGATTGTGACTTTGGGCGATCAAGTCATTAATAAGAGTACACGTTTTAGATATCTTGGATATATTGTTCAGAGTGATGGAGAAATTGATGGGGATATTATTAGTAGAATTCAAGTTGGATGGTTTGAAGTGGAGGAATGTATCGGGCTTATTGTGCGATAGAAAAGTCCCCCTCAAACTTAAGGGAAAATTCTATAAGATGGTGGTGATCAGACCTATAATGCTTTATGGTGCCGAATGTTGGCCATTAAAAGAGAAGCATAATACTAAGTTAAGTGTTGCAGAGATGAGGATGCTTAGGTGGATGAGTGGCTTGACTCTTAGAGATAGGATACAAAATGAGCATATACATGAAAAAAGGTTGGAGTAGTTTCTGTGGAAGATAAGATTAGAGAGAGTTGCCTTAGATGGTTTGGTCGCATTAAACGGAGGCCTTCCGATGACCCGGTTAGGAAAGTTGAGGTATTAGATTTGATTTATCTTAAGAAAGGTAGAGGTAGACATAAAAAGACTTGGTTAGAAAATATTAGAAATGATATTTCTTTATTAGATTTAAATGAGAATTTGACTTTTAACTAGACACAATGACGAAAAAGAATTCATTTAGCGGATCCCATGTAGTGGGACGCTTAATGTAGTTGTAGTATTTGTTTATTTAAGAACCAAATATTTTAAAAAATATTTAATAACATGAAATGAAGTGGTATGTATGTAAATTTTACTTAAATTTATTTATTTAATTAATTAAACGAGCAGTCGCGCCCCAACTAACCCGACTAGCGAGGCTACTGGGCAAGGAGAGGGAGCGTAGTGATGAAGTCGTTGATCCGTCTCACGCCATCCGTTGTTCCGTCTCCCTCGTTCTCTAGATCCATTAATGGAATTTTCAACATTCCTTTAAGCACTCTCTTCACATCCTCCCTCCGCGCTTTTTGTCGATCAAGACGCCCCTTGTCCTTCCACCCTCTCACTATGGCCTCCTCCGCGTCTCAATCCTCTCTGGTAACGCAATCTAGGGTTTTTTATTCTATATTTATCATGTTTTCTTTCAATATTGAATGTTATTTTTCCTTACGTTTTTAATGATTAATTTTTGTGATTTTTTCGGTGGATAACTAGTTGATTATGTTGAAAAAGATTTGAGGTTGCGACGGAGTCTGCTTATATATGGTTTGTGAGAGTAGTTAATGAAAATGATCGTATTTACTCTTTTTTTGAATGCAGACTGCTACTCCCGTTGACGGTGTTTCGGATGTTTTCCAACTGATTCAAGCTCATCAGGTATAAACGGTGGAGTACAATTGGCGTTTTGTTAACTGCAAACGTGTTGCTGTATTGTATGACAAATTGGTGCTCAGTAAATATGGCGATTTTTTGTATTTTTAACTAGTAATAGGTTTCTGAAATAGATATACTTTGAAGTATAATATATTTATTTATTTTATTATTCTCTGAACCAAAAGTTATTGTGCATGTAAAAATTTAATTCGGTCAAAATTTGCACCCGAAGACATGTTCTGGTGTAAAAATGTATATGTATGTGCTTTGCAGTAATGACAAATTCACTTATTTGAGTTTACTAGCCATAATAATTGGTCTCGGTTTTAAATGTTTAGATATTTTTGTACCCAATGGAGTTGTTGTAGCAGACCGTTGCTAATGCGATGCAGCTATATCACTCTAGCTGGAAGCCTGGAAGTGAAGTTTGTCCATATGACTTTGATTCTTATGTGTTGTTGGGAGGCCGTTGGCCATTCATCAGAAAACATATTGATTTTTCACGAATTCACACGATCTTCATGTATCATGTTTCGTTGCTTTGCTTCTTTAATTTGAAAACAAGAAGCATTCTTCAAAGCATATAGTCACTGTACTATCCTAAACTTTTAACTATCAAGATATTGTTGTTTTGGCCAAGCAACCTCACGATTTTGTCCTCTTGGTGTAATTTCCCAAGAAATCGCCCATCCTAGGAGTGCTCCTATTTGAGCATGCTTAACTTTTGAAATTTCTACTAAAATCCAACCATTGCACCAAAGGCGCTTCGATGTTTAAGAGTTTTTTTTATAATAAATTTTTTTAGGGTGTTTCAATATGCATGGAAAGAATAAATAAAATTTCAAATTTCAATAGATTACTTGATGACATGCAATTAGTGTTTGATAAACATTTTTTTGCTTGATGGCCTCCTTGCTTTGGCACATGACAACAACTTCCTTATGCCATCTCCTTTCATTGGCATTTGATCGACATCTTTCAACTCAACGACATCCCCGAGCTGTCTTCTTAGCACCAATTTTTCCCATAAGGTTTCATGTAAGATCTTTTAAGAAATTAAGCGCAAGAAAGATAACATTATTTAAAATCATTTATCACGTTGGAACAAATGCTTATAAATTAGAAATTTTAGTAAGTTCTGTCTTGGTATACTCTTCAATGTGTTTATTTCACTTCATGAACTTGCAAACAAAGATATCTTGTGCAATAACTTGATAGACTTACGTGTGATGATTGCATTGTTTAAAGAACATCATTTATTGCATGATTTGATTGATGAATATAAAATTCTAAATTGGTCAAAGACAAAAATTTCCTATCAGAGAAGATTGATGAGTACTCTCTTCTTGGTTCCTGGTAATCAAGTTCTTATTAGTATGTTTGTGTGTTTTCACTGTTGCAAAGATCATGCCTTGTACTAGGTTTGTGTGTTAATCTAATTATTGTTGCTTTTGAGTCCTATAGCAAGATTCCTTCATACAAAATTACCTATGCTTATCCATTGCCATTATTTACTGATGGCGGGTTCTCTGTTGGTTAGCTTCTTTAGTTATTTGTCATGCTTTTGATATGTGCTGATCCACTGAACCTGTTAGGCCATTGATCCTGTATGGGATTTCAGTGTGGATTCAAGTGGGTTGCCATCTTGGACTTGGGGAAATTAGATTCTTCTATATACCATATGTGAGGCATGCATGAAAAAAACTTCAGGCATAACAATACTTCCTATGTTACTTAATCTTGTATGCTTGGTTGAATGCTTATTCCGTCGAGTGCAGAACAAATGAACAACCAATTTCAAAGAAAAGTTATCTCTTTGTACTGGCATAAGGTTTGAAATTTTCTGTTATTGGAGAATTCTTATATTATTTCTTCATCTACATTATTCGTGATTGATTTTGCAAACATGATTGATTTTAGTCAAATATATTACAACTGAGTTTCTAGTTGCTGTTTGAATTCCAATTGACTTGTGGGGTTCTGGTGGTTGTCAAATTCTTGCTGAATATCTTTGGTTTGGTAATTATTAAATTATCATTTGGATGGTTTACATCAGAAGTTCTTTTTTTGATTGATTCTCTGAATCTATGAATTCTCAATTTTTTTTTTTTAATGATTTTCATTGATCGTATCATTTAGTTGTATTAGAAATCCTATACCCAGATATATGTCGACTGTTTATAGCTGTGTGAATTACAATATTTTGCGTGTTAATCGGAGTGCATATCCTGTTTTCTAGGATTTGTTGTCTAGTGGATAATCCAGAATATGGGTTACATCACTTTACCTCATCATAGATCTATGATATATCAGTTTCAAATTAGTCAACTTACTATATAATGCATACTAAGTGTTATATGCTTGTCATGCCTTTAATGTTCGCTGATACTTTCAGATGCTTACTTCATATTTCAAAATATGTCGCAATACGTGGAATGTGTTTGTGACCGAGATGATACAATTGATACTATTTCCATGGAATGTGTTGTTAATTTTGATGGATATTTTGCCTATAGAATGACTCCCATTGCAGAACCATGAAGTTTTTTAAAGCAGCAGGTTCTTGTTTATCATTTTTTAGGAATTACTTTTAGGCTATTTTTGGTATTGTTGTCTTCTGCTGTACTCAGATGTGCTATAGAAAGATGCTATCCAGTAAACCCGTTGATTTTTGGGTAAAGTTCTGTTAATATTATTGTTTAAGTTATTATGAGAGCTTGTGGTTGTTTGGTAAACAAATAGGATGACACTGGTATGAGTTGATAGCGTGATCAAAATGGATGTAGTATGAATTATATAATTTTATAATATAGTACCCTAATTATAATAATTCTATTGTTAAATAAAATTAATAAATAACTAATTGATAAGCTAGAGAACTTTTTCATAAAGAGTTTTTCTGGGATGCTACCTTAAGTACCATTCTAAAGAAGTTGCTTTATAAAAATGTGGCTTTTGAACTTTCATGCAACTAGATTTTTTTCTGCCAATTGTTAACATCAAATATTTTGAATATGCTTCTATTGTTTGAGGAAGCAGAAATAGGCATCAAAAGTTTTACAAAAAAGAGCCTTAATAATGCCATAAATTAGTTTCACTTGAAAAATTTTCATAAGATGTCAATTGAGGTTGCTTCTTTCTTTGAACATTTTTGTGTTCCTTGAAAAAGAGCAAAATGGAACCGAGTGTCAGAAGTAAACTTGCATTCCAAGGCAATATACTGAAAAAAATATTTCTCACATTCTGAAAAACAATTATTATTTTTATTGGACGCCCTTCAAACTAGGCCTTATGTAGGCTTAAAACAAGTCACTGTTCTCCTATTTTGGGATATATGATTGAGGACTTCGTATATAGTGACTGAAATACATTGAATTTTCTTTCTCTGCATTATTGTTATGTCTGGCACAGAAGATTGCATTTTTGTGCATCAATCTTTGTTCAGTTTTGTTAGGGGTTGTTAATAACAATTTTTTAATTCTAACAAAAGGCTGCAGCTCCTCGCCTTCCTCCAGTAGAAGAAGTTAGAACTATTCTTGATAACAGCATTCGAGGCATGCTTTCTACATTTTCCAAGGTATTTTTCTTCACATGAATGGAACTGAATGTCATTGTCGCTGTTGTCATCATCATTAGCTTTTTTCTCCATGCATTACTTTGTCAACACAACTTATTAAAGTGAGATTTTTGGATTTATTATTTATTTTTCTTTTTTTTTTTTTAATTTTTTTAATTGAGATTTTTGGATTATAACATCTCATTTGCTTTATTTTTGGTTTGCAGGAACATGAGGGTTATCCGTCTGGATCAATGGTCGATTTTGCTTGTGATCACGATGGTTCGCCAGTGCTAGCAGTCAGCCACCTTGCAGGTCATTCCAAGGTTTGCTTCTGCTCTAGTTTCAGTTGGTTTGGCAAATGAATTTTGCAGTTACCTTTCAAAAAAAAAAATTATGAAAACTTGCAGAATTTGTTGGAGAATCCCAAATGCTCTCTGCTTGTTGCTAAGGATCCTGAAGATCGAACTGACATTGTGATCACCTTATTTGGGGATGCTGTTTTGGTATGTGCTGACAACTTGATTTTTTAACAGTTCTTTAAATAATTGTGGATGCTGTTGTTCAAAGCTGGCATCATTAAGACACTTATTCAGCTATCTTTCCAATCAATTTGAAAGCGTTTCTTCATTTGCTTACTTCTAGGGATGTTTTTAGTCATGGAGTTGACTCTAGATTTCTGGTACCTTCGAAACTTGAACCTTAGCATGAACATTCAAGATAACTGTGTCCATTGAAGCTTAATTTGATACATTAGTTGCACGGTGCTGAAGAATACAGCTAATTAGGACCTTTTAGCCAATTTTTTATTGAGCACTTCCTCCAGTATCAATTTTCAAATTAAGATCTTAGTCGCTGATAACATGAGATTTGAGATTGTGGATTCACAACTTCAAATGGTGCTTTTTCCAATTCGTAGTCTTTCTGTTGTGGCCTCAAACAAACTTTGGGGCAAACCACAGTAACTTCTATACTCTTTGTTTTCTCTTTTCATTTCCGTCCATCCTTTTCTCAATATTTTACATGTCTTTGCATCTACTTTTTTCTCTTTCACACCTGAAAGCCTGCCTTGTAATGCGCTTCTCAAATTTTCATCAAAGTATGATTAATTGCGTATAGGACCTGATTCTGTCTATGGATGGCATATGTGACAGAGAGTGTTACTTGAGGAATAACAGCTGTGCTTATATTTAGAATGGAACTCTTTAAGAATATCATTTCGTTTAGAATTATGTTTTTCAGGTTTCAGTGCAAAGCCTCTCTTGCTAGAAAATTGTACTTATCTTCTTGTCATCAGAATGGTTTATATATCAAGAATCTTAAATTGAACTGATGTCTAGGTTTCCGAGGATGATAAAGAAGCTGTACGTGCTGCTTATCTAAGAAGACATCCTAATGCTTTCTGGGTAACTCTTTCTTCACTAATCATTGCACTAGTAACAGTTGTCCTTTACTTGATTCATAGTGATGTCAAGAACTCTGATTTTGAAGGTTGATTTTGGTGACTTCTGCTTCATCCAAATCAGGCCAAAATTTGTACATTTTGTGTCTGGGGTTGCTACTGCCTTGCTGGGATCAGGAGGTAAAACAGTATCTGCCTACCACTAACATTTTTCTTTTGTGATTTGGGAGTAGCCTAGCAATGATTAACCATATAATTTCTATCATTCTGGAGGACTAAGAGACTAAATATAGCTTGTCGTTTGATATGATGATGACATTGGGCATGTAAGGTAGGTAGGGGATCAAGAGAGTCATGGAAGGTTGGGAGTTTGAGTGACAATGTTGTCAAACGTTCTCCCAATTTTGGACATTGTTGATGTCAGCTTATTTTCTTTTGCTTTGTAATTGATGATCTGATCCAACTCAAAACAACTTTTGAGGGCGTGGCTTGTTGGAGTAGCAGAGAGAAAGAAGAAGAGAGCAATGCATATAAACCATGGAGTTGGACTTTTTTTTGGGTTGAACTTATGGAATGCGATCTAAAACTTCCATCAGGGATGGTGCTTTCTGAGCTTTATTAAACAAGTTGAAGATTTCAGTCAAAAAATCCTTAAACTTTAATAAGTTGGTCTTTGAAATTTAGTTTTACCTGACATATCATTAGTCATCAATATCATAATTGTTACCCTTATCCAACTCTGTGGGGCTAGCTGTATGAATCCTCTATTTTTATATATTTCTATTCAGTGTTACATGAGATATTAGCTTAAAAATTTTAAATCTTCTTCTAATCATGTCTCATTGTAATTTATTTTTTCTTGATATCTTAAAAAAAGTTAAATCGATGGTTGATGCCAATGCCCAATAACTTTTGCTATCATAATTGAAAGCCCTCTAGAGGTAATTCATTGGCAAAATCAATTTTAGAAGTCTTTAATTTCCTTGGCGAGCAAGTTCCTTTTATCTAGGCAAATTGGATTTCAGACTTGCCTTCGTTGTTTATCGCGTCTTCCTCCAGGCAGTTGCTAATGGGCAAACCTTAACAATAGTTTGGTTGCTTTTAAGTTTTATTGGTACATCCTTTTTCCTAATTTTCAGTGTTCGTTGATTATATTCTTTAATGTAAATCTTGAGATTGCCTGTTGTAACCACTCCGTTTGACAAGTCATGAAATGATTACCTAGATGGATAAAAGTTTTATTCTTTCATGAGGATGCGCATTACTTGAATGATTTTGGGTATTGCTCTAATGTTTCTCACATGGATTTCAATGCAAGGTCCTGGTTAACGTCATGGAGTTTGAATTCTCTTGTTTTCTGTTATGTTTTTTGATCTACATCAAGAAGGCTTTGACATCTTTTGAGTAGGTGTAGACTCCTTAGGGAAGAAGATAGGGAGGAAGAGAGACTAAAAAGGGAGAAACAAAATATTATTCATTCCATACCTTTTCTTACAATAAGTGGTGTATTCATAATATTTAGATAGGCCAAATCTATAATACAGAACCGGTCTACCTAACCAAACTTAGAAGAAAGATTAGACTAGTGCTTTATTACATATGTGGACCCATTTGTCATTTATATGTGCGAAACATGTTTTTTCTTTGGCAGGCTTCTTATTTGTTGGTTGTTCTACCATATTTGTAGCCCATGTTTCGCATTTGATTTTTGGATCCAATCCCTGATGTCTAACATTTTCCCATAGCTATCTGTGCAAAATATCTTTTTGATAGCCTTAGCAATCTCACCCATGCATGTTATTGCTATTTATTGACTGCTGTTTTGATTTGTGCCAGACTTTAATGCTGAAGAGTTCAGAGCTGCCAAAGTTGATCCAATGTCTCAGTTTTCAGTTCCCATATCTGTATGAACTGAATTTTGTTAACCTTTTATGGATTTATTTGATATGCATCTTTTTTGCCTTTTAAGTTATATAATTTTATCGCAGTCTCACATGAATAAAGATCATTCTGAAGATACAAAAGCTATTGTAGAACACTCTACCTCGATTAAGGCAAGCATTTATCATTTTTATTTATAGAAAGAATTTGAGATAGAAGGAATAAATTCAAATTTTTTAATCTTGATAGTGTGTTTTTAAAAACGAGGTGTGATCCATATTTTTTCATCATTCACTGATCTGGTTATTTGTTAGGACTCTGCTTGTACTCTTATCCTTGAAACCTATATTTTGATCAGCAGCTTAGAAACTTAAGCAGTGTAATAGAGGAATATAATATTCTTATTCAGAGTGAGCAAAAATTTTGGCTATTCAATACATGATTTGTCTTCATTTGTAGTGCATGAAGGACAAATCCTTTTAATTGTTTAATAACATTGTGCTTTTTGCCTTGGAAAATCCATGGAATTTTCATCAATTACCCCAGAGCTGATTGGAAGAAATAATTTCCAGGTGGACTTTGCTTACATTCTGGATGTGGATAGTCTTGGTTTCAACGTTAAGGTGGTACTTGCTCTCTTATAGTTTCTAATTTTGCTTGTTTCGGGTTGTAATAGATAACATGCTTGTTATAGGTACATAAACCATTGATATATAAATTGTTGCATAAACTTTTGGTGTGAGGGCTAGCAATGTATGTTACCAACATATAGTTGTTTCTCGTTGAAATTTATTGACATGACTTTTGGGGTTCTGTTTTTTTTTTTTTATTTTTTTCTTTTTTTGTTGTATATGTAATTTATGTATGTTACACTGATGTTTGCTTTGACCTGTCACGTATAAGACCAATTTTTAATACTGCATGTCATCGTGGAGGCCCCATTTATCTTGTTCTTTCAAATACAACATATTTAAACTTATATCTTTAACTTTTGCTCCTCTCCTAGATTTATATAATAACTGAATTTCTCATTTTTTGCCAGCTAATTTTATTTACTGCTACCCGTATATTTTGAAAATAATTTCTGTATTTTCAAGATTTGATTAGGTTTCCTCTAATGTACTGTATGAAAGCTCTATTTAGACACCCTTGTCTTTATTCATCCTAGTTTTTTGCTGACATTACACTTTTTTTTATTTTTTATATTGCTATTAATACCAGGCTGGTTATCAAGGAGGCACTTACAAGTTACGAATTCCTTTCCCTAGACGTGCACAAGATAGAAAGTAAGACAGTTGAGATAATTAATATTATTTTTCTTTAATCTTTCACCATCCTTTCTGTTTCAATAACAATTTCATTCCTAGAGCTTCTCCTAGATCTACTTTCAGCTTTATGCTTTTAGCTAGTTCTTTAATTCCCTGCCCTTTGCCCCCTTTTTGTTGGTAATTAGAAGATGTCCTCAGAAATGCTGCCTATTTATATATGTTAGAATCCAACCGTTCCTCGTGCAAAGGATCCGACGGTCACAAAGAGCAATCCGTGGGAAGCTCTCATGAATCACGTTGAAACACCTTCCATAGATGGGCAGCCGATTTTGGAAGAGTTATATTTCATTATTATGTAGTTATTTGTTTTCTTATTAAATATCTTGGATAGATCTATATATATAGGGAAGAATTTATGCAATAAAGCAAGGCTTTTCTTCTCAAATTCCTAGTTTTAACATGATATCAGAGCCAATGGCCTTTATTGCCGTGGAAGAAAGATCCTAGATCGTTGAAGGAGGACAAGAGGAAGAAGAAGCCACCGGAAGACAAAGCCGGAAGCCGAAAGAGAAAAAGAAAGAGGAAGAAGGGATCAGAAGAGAAGCCAAACCGTGCGAAGCCTGTTGCGACTGCCTCATCCACTGTCGACACAAAGAAGTCGACCGGAAATCGAAGCCGAAGGATGACACAAGGCTCTTGCCGCGTCTAGTCCGCTTCTGATCCGAGCAGAACGACCCGCGCCCTAGCCGTACTGACGCCGAAGCCGCCGCCAACCAAACACCCGCCGCCTGTGCGTGGCTCCCGCTTGTAGCTGGAAAGGCGGAACCGTGCGCGTTTGCGATCGAAGAGGCGCAATGTGCATGCCCTAGGTACCCAACCCAAGTTCTTTAAAGACTCGGCTTGGCCTGGTTCAATTAATAGGGAAAATTTTGTTTTCTTTTTCCCAAAAAAAAAAATCGCCCTTTATTGTTGAATAGAAAAATCTTGTAAGCCTTCATTGCTTCCAAAAGTCATACAGATAGTCTCAATTACTATCATAATGTCAGAAATCAATTCCTCCCAGAGCATTGACCAAATTGAGGAGTCGATGGTGCACCAAGGACGAGGTGACCTCCAAAGCATGCAACCTTCCTATCATCTAAATGGGAAAAACTACCTAAAGTGGTCTCAATTTGTGAAGACTTACTTGAAAGGGAAAGGGAAAGTACACCACCTTTTGGAGGACCAAAAGAAGGATATCCTTAATTTGGAGTGTGGGATGAAGCAGACTCCATGATTATGTCATTATTGTGGAACTCCATGACTCCAGAAATTAGAGATACATTTATGTTCCTTTCCACTACAAAGGACATATGGGATGCTGCTAAACAGACCTTCTCCAAAGCTCGAGATGCAGCTCAAATCTTTGAAATTAAATTCAAAGTTGGAAGCACAAAGCAGGAGAGTAAGACCGTGACGGAGTATGCCACCCTTCTACAAAATCTGTGGCAAGAACTTGATCACTATAGATGCATAGAAACAAGATGTCCGGAAGATGCTGCGATCCTAAAGAACTTTATTGAAAAAGATAGAGTTTATGATTTTCTTGTAGGACTAAATGCAAGTTAGAGTCCAGATCCTTGGCAAAGAGGAGACGCCATCACTCAATGAAACCATTTCTCTCATCCGCGCAGAAGAAAGCCAACGATGAGTGATTTTAGAACCAAAGGTTGTTGAAAGTTCAGCAATGGTGATGAGCAAAGAATCATGGAAGGAGAAAGGTAAATATTTCTCAAAATTGAAAGACAAATACTCACTTTGGTGCAGTTATTGCAAGAAATCAAGACACACAAAGGAAAATTGCTGGAAGATACTTGGAAAACCTTCCAGTAAGGAGTAGAATCAAAGAACTGAAACAAGTCAACCCAACTCAGAAGCACAGTCCAGTCTTGGAGAATTCAATAAAGAAGATATTGATAAACTGAGACGACTCCTTATATCTCTTGAAAAACCAAATGCATTCTCTTCACTTGCAATCATAGGACCAAAATCAGGGAAGACGATTAGACATGCTAAGGAGAGAGCTAGACTGGACCACCTGGAAGAACTATACAAAGTTCCCACTATCAGCCTTTATTGCTGATATAACCAAATTAGCCTTTATTGCTGATACAAGCAAATCAGCCTTTATTGTTGACATAATCAAATCAACCTTTATTGCTGATCAAATCAGCCTTTATTGCTATTATAACACAATACAACCTTCATTACTGGAAACCTAAGGAATACAAAATTCCCACCACCGGCCTTCATTGTCGGAATTTTGAGGATAGGTTCCCATCACCGCCTTCATTGCTGGATTTCTCTTGTGGTTGTTATCCTATCTATAACAAATGCAACCTTCATTGTTGCCCTGCTTGATATAGCCTTCATCGCTATCATTTGCTGCTGTCACAATATCTAAAGCTAATTTCCCCCAAAGTTTTGACCAAAATAGATGGCTCTATAGTGCACCAAGGAACTTGATAACTCTACTTTGTGTGACTAATTACCAAGCTGGGAATGACATATCTGTATTACCAGCTTGAGGGGGAGTGTTAGAATCCAGCCGTTCCTCGTGCAAAGGATCCCACGGTCAAAGAGCAATCCGTGGGAAGATCTCACGAATCACGTTGAAACACCTTCCATAGATGGGCAGCTGATTTTGGAAGAGTTATATTTCATTATTATGTAGTTATTTGTTTCCTTATTAAATATCTTTGATAGATCTATATATAAGGAAGGATTTATACAATAAAGCAAGGCTTTTCTTCTCAAATTCCTAGTTTTAACAATATTTTTTTTTTCTGTCTATATTTTGTATTTGCTTGTTGGTTGGGGCTGCTGCATCTTCTTGTGAGTTGATTCATCTCGTAAGAATCTAGTTTGTATAAGCTTCTAAATACTCTTTATGTCAAGCCTCAGCTCTATCACTTGTCCTTCAGCATAAATATTTTTGCAAACTAAATGCATGGACTAATTTAACAGCATGAATAGTTTTGCTAACTAAACTTAATTTCATATGAGTTGATTCATGTAGCCGATCCCACAGTGGGATAGAGGCTTATTGTTATTATTGTGGTTGTTGAGTTGATTCATGATGTTAGAATCTAGTTTTTATAAGCTTCTAAAACTCTTTATGCCAAGCCTCTGTTCTATCACTATTCCTTTCTGGGATATGATTTCTTATCCCTATTTTTCCTGTTCTTGATCTTGAATGACACTATATACGTCCATGATATGTTTCTAAAGAATAAGGAAATCTCTTTCTTAAACCACAACTTATTATCATTTTGAAGACGAAATCAGCAAGAAAAATATTAAAAACAGCAGAAATTGAGAAATGAAAGCTGATTTTTTTGTATTAAAACTTCAACATCAAAACAAGATACAATTATATACTATTAGAGAGGTAGATTGTTTCTCCCACTTAACCTAGAAGCGGCTAGGAAGCCCTCAAGAAAACTCTAGAAAAAACTACAGCAAACTATCCAAACAAAACATAAAAAATAAACGCTAGAATCAGCCCTAAATAAACTCTCTAAATCCCCCTAAAAAGGGCCCCCTTAATTAATTTCCCTCTCTTTCTCTATTTCAAAAATATAAATCTTTACTTTCTTATTTCCCTCCTTATTTTCTCTCCTAGTATATTTAATTAAATCTTTTCTGGGCCCCAAAGGGGGCCGAACCTGCTGCTTTTTTCCCCCTAACAGACTCTAAAGTGAAATAATATATGAAACTATTAGGCTTCCTCGATCTCCTGGCCAAATCAATTTCCCTTATGTGCTGCTAATTTATTGGAATATTAAGACCAGTTGAATCAAATATCATATTGGTTTTCCACAGGGATGTGAAGACGCTTATTATCGAGATGCTCCAGGCTGCTCGAGCCCCTGTGTAGAGAACAGGAAAACAGATATCAGGTAAAGTTGATATTGTTCTCAAAGTTTCGGCAAATTGTCCCCAGCATTTAATCATCTAGTGTTCTTAATGTTTAAATGTTGGGGCCTTGGATTTCTTTTCCATTTCATTTTTGTTTTTTGAAATGGTTTGATCACAAAATTGTTGGGATCAAATTTCTGTTTTCACCTTCTTTGATAGATACACATGTCTTAGATTTTGTTTGGGACGACTTTCTTACTATTTTTTAAAGCGGCTTTCTAGTTCAAAAATTAAAATTTTAATATTATAAATCTACTTTAAGAAGCAGTAAGAAAGTCATCACAAACGAAACTTTAGTCTAAAAATATTCTGCAAACGAGTGCCATCGGTCACCCCTCTATTAGATGTTCTAGTTTTTTGTTTGGATATTAGGTTTGTTTCTGTCTGCTTTACTTAGAAAATTGACTAGTTAAGCGCTGAAATCTTGAAATTCTTAGTACCCTACTATTGTCAAGAACTATTCAGTTTTATAATGGCTTGATTATGGATTAGTTATTTTATAAACTAATCAAGGAATAAGTGATATTGTAATAAATAAATTCCTAATTAATTAACCTAATTAGTTCAATAAATTTGACCCTGTTCAGTGATTTTTATTTCCTTGGTAATAAATTATTCCCTGAATAGTTAACCTTGCTATTCACTAAACATGGTAATCTGAATCCTAATCCAGTTTTATTTACTACCCCAACATTTGATTGATCCCCAATTTATTTATAATCTGATTGTGTAGGTAAGATCACTAGTTAAAGCTTTGGTGCTAGAAAGTTGTTTTAAAAAGCAGTTAGAAAGTTGTTTCAAAAGTAGATAAATGCTTTGTTAAAAGTGCATATATGCATTAATTTAAGGTTTAGACTTCGTTTGGGACAGCTTTCTCATTGCTTCTTAAAGCAGCTTTTTATTACAAAAATTAAAATTTTGTATTAGAAAGTTGCTTTAAGAAGCAGTAAGAAAGTTGTCCCAAACAAAGCCTTAGTTTGGGACGTCTTTCTTACTGCTTCTTAAAGCAGCTTTTTAATATAAAAATTTTAGTTTTTAAAGTAGAAAGTTATTTTATGAAGCAATAAAAAAGCCATCCCAAATGAAGAAAATCTACTTGATTCAAATGCAGGAATATATAGCAGACTAATCATAACATTATCAGAGCAGCAAAGCTCCTTTTTCATTAGGGTAACCTGCTTATGATCTGAGTTACTTATTTTGCTGCAGGTCGCAGCAGAGTTTTGTACAATACTATAAGGTGCTCAAACCTCAGTGATTTTCCTATTTGTAAATATTTGCAATTATTGTCTGTGTTTTCCCAAAAGAAGGGAGCTTTATACAAATATTTCATTATGAACTAGTTATGTTGATGCTTAATTTTGTATACAAAATAAATCTTTTGAAAAAAAAAAATGATGCTTTTTATAACCGGTTAAAATTGCCCTCAATGCAAGTAAAAAAATAAACAAGTAACTTGGATTTTAGAATGAAAATTAATATATGCAATGAAAATTAAACTAAGGTTTCATTTGGGATAGTTTTTTATTGATTCTTAAAGCCATGGGCGGATCCCCATTGGATTGAGCGGGTAAATGTCCACCCTCAAAAATTATTATTTTTTTTATAATTTTAGAGGGTATATTTTGGAATATTTTGAGTATTTTGGATATTTTGTCCCTCTTAAAAAAAATTTTACCTTAATTTTATCAATCCTGAACTTCTTTGCCTATCTCCTACCAAACAATTTTTTTGTCCATCCTGAAAAAATTTGGATCCGCCCCTGCTTAAAGCTATTTTATAGTGCAAAAATTTTAAATTTTGTACTAAAAATCTACTTTAAAAACAATAAGAAATCCGTCACAAACGAAGCCTAGAATTCGATATAACTTTACATTTTTGCTTTATATATCAGTTTTTAAGTACAATTAAAAAAAAAATTTAAGAAGTGGCAAAAATTTGTCTCAAATAAAGTTATATATTTCTTTTTTATTACTTCCAAGAGATTTTAATATTAGGAAATTATTTGTGGAATATAATAAGAAAATTATTTCAAATCAAGCATAAATATCAAAATATTCCATAAGACATGTAATTCATCGATATTATTAAGTTGTATTAGCATGTTCTCCTTAAAGTCTTTGGGCTTATTGGATGAAGTTCGTTGGTTAAGTTATATTAAAATAATTATCTAAGTAATGTGAAATTTATGATATTTGATTGCAAACTTATGGTCCTCATATGATTTGGTTAAACGATTAAAATAAATATTATTATGAATGTTATAATTACAATGTAATATCAAAATATTAATCAATATATATTAAATAAAATAAATTAATAAGCAAATTAACTTGTAAATAAATAGTGTGCAATGTCATTGATATACTTCTTATATTTTTATTTAGGTAAATATTTTGACAAATACATGAGGGATAACTTATTGTGTATATGAATTGATCTAAAAAATATTTAGAAAATATTTATTTTAAGATAAAAGAAAAATAAAAAAACTTATCAGGGTTTAATTTTATAACTAAAGAAAATAATAAAAAATTATACTTTTAATTATGGATTTTGAGATTTTCTTTTTCTCTGCTTCTTTCATACTTCTTTCGTCCTGGTGCCACTGGTTTCGCCAGGCAAAGAGATGCAGACGTGCAGCCTCATTCGCCGGGGCTCCTCCGATGGCGGCGGAGCCCTTAGCCTCAGCTTCCTCTTACTACCTCTTCCGGCGAGAAGACCCCTCTACTTATCTTGGATCGGCTTCGGCCGCGACCGTCTCGGCGGCGGTGCTGGGCGAGTGGCTGCGGCGGCCTCCGCGGCGAATGGAGGAGCCTATCAGGACCACTACGCTGTTCTTGGAATCCGAAGGAATGCCACCGCAGCTGAAGTCAAGCGCGCGTATCGGTTGCTTGCTAGAGAGGTGCCGTCTCCTTCCACAAATCTTTTTTCTGAGTACTAATTTACGTCAATGATCAACAATTCAGGCATTCGCGCGGGGTTTGTTGATGCTTATCAAATATAAATGCCATGATTGTTATAATTATTAATGCAAAACTTGTCTAGTAAGGAAATGGAATATTTGTAGAACATATTGTTACGAAAAAAAATATCGAGTGATAGAAAAGCTTGAGAAGACGAGATTTGTTTCTCCTCTTAGAGAAGAGTACTTCATCATCGTGGAGTGCTGGATTCGTCAATGCTGCTTCTATTGGTTTTTTGTGGGCTCTTTTAAGTTTTGAAACCACCCTTCTTTTATATCCTAAAAATAGAGAAGAAACTTCTTTTTAACCTAATAATAGAGAGGAAATAAAAGAAATAAACAACGAAAAAGATGCTTTTAGCTTAAGGAAGAGGGGTAGAAGATCAATGATGGATTAAACTTTTTTATTGAAACATCTAAAACCGTAAGTTCCCCATAAAAGGATTAAAATTTAAAATAAAATAAAAGAGAATAAAAAAATATGGCTCACTATATAAGCATATATTATGCCTCATGTTAGGTGGATGAGATATCTTGAGCCTACACTTACTAATGATTTCATTTAGTAGAAGATCAATGATATCTTCTATGATGGATTGAATTTCGTTGAGCCCAAGTCTTTGATCAATTCTTTGTAGTCACACACATAATAAGAGTGTATTTCATTTGATATATTGATAATATTTTTATAATCTTATGTTTTACCTTTGTTGCGTGCTAGAAAATACGCGGCGGTAGAGTTTGTAAATTCGCATCCGAGTGTTGCACGTAAATTTAATACACAAACAGAAAAGAGAATGTAAACACCAGGGTTTTTACGTGGAAAACCCAAAAAGGGAAAAAACCACGGGGCCTTGCCCAGTTGTAAAGTTCCACTAGTGTTTTTGTAGATTACAAATGGCTGATTCTTCCCACAAGTCGGGACAATCAGAATTCAATTTGTTTCTTCTAGGAAATTTACAAAATTCTACAAATTCCCGGCGTTTCCCGAAAATCCGGCAGAGTTCTGGCGTATTCAGGCGGCGGGAAGAGCTTCGGCGGTGGTCGAGGAGGAGAGAAATCTCCTTTTCCCCTTTTCCTTCTTCTTCTCTTCTTCTTCTCTCTCTTCACTTGAGTCCCTTTGGTGTAGAATGAGGGCTCTATTTATAGTTTTTCTGGAGTGGCATAGCCCATAAATAGGCGTGAGATCAGGGGCGAATTGGGAGCGTTTTGAATGGACGGCCGATATTGAATCCTTTGATCATGCACCGTTCGTTGGGCATTTGAAGGCCTTAATGATATCGGAATTCGGCGATCTTGGGCTCGTTGGATTTGTCTCATCGAGCCGTTCGATTCAAGTATAAGCTCGTCAAAATCGGAGACCGTTTGGTAACTCAAATTGCGGTTTGAACCTTCCAACAGCGCTTTGAGCCCTTGATTCAGACTCATTTGGGATCGGATTGGGTTGATCTTGGTGTCGTTGGGTTCGTATTTTCGATACACTCAGTTTGACTGTAAGCTCGCTGAAATCGGAGTTCAGGTGCTCGCAAAATTAATTTTTGAAGTTTCCAACTAGCTTTTGCCTCGAGATTCGTGCCCGATCGAGATAATTTTGTGATGCCGTATCAACCTTCATTCTTATGAGTGATTAACGATTTAGCCCAAATCTGATGTTATGCTTCAAGACTAATCAAACTTAGGTAAATTCTCAAAAGGATCAAGTGATAGTGTGATCCTTGCAAATTTTTTTGGACTCATTGAGAGCTAAGATCAACATAACCATGCCATCATTTAGAGCGCATCAATTTATAGATCAGGTTGGAATTGAGCTTGTAATGATTTGTTCATCCGATTGTCCACAATAATCAATTTCATTTTTACCTTTTGAAGCTACCAGTCAAAGCACAATGAAATGAATAGAATAAAAAACATGGTTCATTACATATTATGCATCATGCTAGGGTGGATGAGATATCTTGAGCCTATGCTTAATTTTGATTTCATTAGGTAGAAGATCATTGATGGATTGAATTTTGTTGAACAAAAGTCAATGATAAGTTTTTTTTAATCATCACTTACACAATTGGGGGAAAGACCAAAATTTTTTAGTCTTACATGATTTATTATTTCAACTAGAGTAGACCTTGTGATTTTTCTCTTTTTTAATTTTCATAAAACTCTTGCACCTCTTATGAGTTTCTTTTTTTGTATGTACAAAACTTTATTTCATACAATTTTTTACTTTGCTGCAAAATATGTAACATGCACCATGTATAAACAATTCAAAGGTAAAGCAAAAATCTCTTGGTTCAAGAGTAACCATACCAAGTTTTCTTTGGAAGAAAAAATATAAAATCCCCTATTTTTCTTCTTATTTTTTCTTTTGGAGAAGGTGAAAAGTTGGATCGACATTATCCATTTGATAGAATGCTCAAATTACATTTCATTATATTTGCAGATACCAGTATATGTGCGCATTTATTGTTGTATGCATTATTTAATAGACTAGGACTCTTTTAGGCAGCTCAATACAACCTAAATACAACATTGCAACGTTATTATGACAGGTTTTTAACCTTTTTATGACAGGTTGCGACTTGCTAGCACAATAAAAATGACTCAACTATGACTCGCTCACTTGAAAATAACCTTTATGAGGTTGATTATCTTATGGATGGGTTTTGCAGTTGGGTTAGTTGACCATTTATTATTGGGGTCCCATGAAACTTAAAATAGGTCTTTTTATGAACGAATCAACTTAGATGAACTCAATCCGTGTATTAAAATGATTTCCCTTATTTCCAACTTTATAGTTGCGAATGCTATATGAAAATAATCTTCTTCAGCACCAGCAAAACCTGCGGCCTACATGATTTAATGGACATTTTATGATTGATTGACCTTACATGAACTTCATCAAGAGTAGGAATGATGGATGGCTTGTTTCTATGAGATTAAAATTAAGAGTTGCTTTGTGAATTTAATACACCTTTTTTGGGTGAAATGAGATTTATTGGCAAAATTTTAAAGGAATATTGAAAGGATTTTCTTATATTGCCAACATGAGAAATCTTGTTATCTTTTTCACGACTTGCATCAGCTGCTGTTGGCTGAATCGACATGTTCAGTTAATCCCCATCCCCCACTTCCCCCTTCCTTTTTTGGTCATTAATATGATGTAATCCATGATTTTTTTTTATTGTTCTTTTTTACGCTAATGCCATGCCTTGAATCATCTTCTATTTGATATTGGTCCTCTGCAGCATCATCCAGATGTTAGCCGGGATCAGCAGGCCAGTGAAATTTTCAAGAAAATTCGCTTGGCGTATGAGGTATTGTACTTTTTATCTCTTTATCATCTGGATTCAATGGATTATTCGAAGTAATATTTTGAATGCAGGCTTTGACTAAAAGGTATTGTTATTAATATGTTTGTTTATGTCTTGGTTTTTTCTTTCTTACAAACACATTAGGCAGTCAAAACCATCCCTTTGTCCAAAACTGTTTCTCCAAGCTATTGCTTTATAGTGACATTTCTTATCAGCATGATATAATTTAGGTTTTTTTTAAACCTTATGCAAAGACAGCATTTCTGCGTTTTTCTTCCTTTCTTGGACGAATTACCAATATGAAATTATTTTAACATCCATTTGTGTTGACCGGTCCTTTTATCTCAAAATTGATCACCAATATCTTTCTCTTGACGATGCTTTGAGCTTTCAAAGATAATAGAAGCATTACTAATACGTAAGTAAAGGGAGGCAAAACAAGGAGAAAGCTTGTCATTTAGCTTATTTCAATCAAGCAAAAAAATCAAGTTAGAATACAATTCACTGCATCAAGCAAAAAAATCAAGTTAGAATTCAATTCATTGTAGTGATCTTCGTATTCTAAATGAAAATAAAGATTTTTGTTTTTATCGTCGTATTAGTAAAGTCAAAGTTAGAGATACAAAAAAAAAAAAAAAGCGTAAGAAAGTTGTTGGACTTGATGATATTCTATTATAGATGTGGAAATATTTAGGAGATGAAAGAATTTCAAGACTTACGAAATTTTTTAAGATGACTAAGAAAATGTCAGATGAGTTGAGATTAGAGGAGTGTTAGTTCCCATTTTTAAGAAAAAATGTGATGCGCAAGAGTGTTCGTATTATAGAAGAATTAAGTTAATGTATCATACATTATGTAATATCCCGTACCTAGGGTTTTGCCACGGAGACAAAAGAGCTCAGTTTAAATTGTTTGAAGATGAATTGAATGCAAATCTTCAGCTAATTAGGCCGCAACAGACATAGGGAGAAGACAAACAAAAGGAAAGGGTTTTAATTACTAGAAGTTGAAAGAATTTTCTGTCGAATACAAAGCGCGTGTGTGGCTTTGTGTCGCTTGGAAGCCGAAGGAGTTGAGTAAGTCGAAGGAGATGAGGAAGATGAAGATGTTCGGGTTCGCGGAAGCCAAGTGGTCTAGATCACATGAAGCAGAAGACGAAGAGCTCACTCTCGTCTTTTGTTGTCATGGAAGTTAAAGGGTTAGGGTTGATTCCGTCGTTTGGCACGTCGTTGGCTTCATCTCTATAAATTAGAGAAGAGTGGGAGGAGTGAGTACGAGAAAGTTTAAGCGGCAAACGGGCAAATGATTGAGAGAGAGAAGAAGAGTCGTGCTTTTGGAGATTGAGTGAGCAAGGCAGGCAGAGGAGATCGAGCGAGAGGTATTATTTTTTTCTTTTATTTATATTGTTAAGAAAATTAATATTTTAAAAATAGAATTTTAATATGTTTAATGGATATATGTATATATAATATTATTAGAGTTTTAATAAAAGGATAATTATAATTTATTTTAAGTTGAATTTATTGAGTATAGGAAATTGTAATAAATTAAATTTATGATATAAATTAGATTTAAAAACATATTTAAGAGTTAACGATAATTTATATAGAAAAATGAGAGTATATTTTATTAATAACTTAAATGGAAAATTTATTAAATATAGAACATTTATTTTAAAAATTAATTAAATTATGATTAATAAAGTGGAGAGAACAAATTCTATTATTAAAAAATAAGAAGAATTATTAAGTATATTTAATAATTAATTAGAGAGATATATGATTAGATATATAAGTTAAAATACAACAACAACAACAACAACATCAAGCCTTTATCCCACTACGTGGGGTCGGCTACATGAATCCTTTTTCTCCATTGTGTCCTATTAAAAGTCAAATTCTCGTTTAAATCTAATAAAGAAAGGTCATTCCTAATATTTTCTAACCAAGTCTTTTTAGGTCTACCCCTACCTTTCTTAACATAAGTCAAATCTAATACCTCTACTCTCCTAACCAGGTCATCAGAAGGCCGCTATTTTATGTGACCAAACCATCTAAGGAAACTCTCTCTAATCTTATCTTCTACTGGAACTGCTCCAACCTTTTCACGTATATGCTCATTCGTATCCTATCTCTAAGGGTAAAGCCACTCATCCACCTGAGCATCCTCATCTCTGCCACACTTAACTTAGTATTATGCTTCTCTTTTAAAGGCCAACATTCGGCACCATAAAGCATTGCAAGCCTCACTACATAATGCTTATAGAATTTTTCCCTTAGTTTGAGGGGTACATTTCTATCACATAACAAAACCCGATGCATCCTCTCCACTTCAACCATCCAAACTTGAATTCTGCTGATATATCCCATCTATCTTCACACCAAATCACTCTGAACAAAATCCAAGAATCTAAACGTGTACTCTTATTAATGACTTGATCGCCCAAAGTCACAATCCTCACTAGGTCTATTACTACTAAATTAACACTCCATATATTCCGTTTTTAGATCTACTCAGCGAAAACTTTTAGAATCTAAGGTTGACCCTCCATAATTCAAGTTTAACCTTCAACTCCCTCTCTAAATCTTATCAACAAGAAGAATTCAATCAGCAAAAAGCATACACCAAGGTACATCCTCGTTGCAAATGTCTAGTGAAAACATCCATGACTAAAGCAAAAAGATATGGGCTTAAGGCTGATCCTTGATGTAACCAACCGAAAATATGGAAATACTTGGTCAATCCACCTTGTGTTTGAACACAAGTAATAGCTCCTGCATACATATCTTTAATGATTTGAATATAGCATTATTGCTTCCTTTTCTTTTCAAGACTCTCCATAGGCACTTCTCTTGGAACTTAATCATATGCTTTTTCTAAATCAATAAATATCATATGTAGATCTCCTTATTTTCTCTATAATTCTCCCATCAAACCTCTTAATAAATATATGGCTTCCATAGTCGACCTACCCGGCATGAATCCAAATTGATTTGGAGAAACATTAGTACATGCCGCAACTATGCTCCATAACTCGCTCTCAATAGTTTTAAGTATGACACATTAATTAATACCTCTATAATTCTGCACAATCTTGTGCATCACTTTATTCTTAAAAAATAGGAATTAAACACACTCATTCTCCACTCATCTGGCATCTTCTAGTCTTCAAATAGTATTAAAAGTTTAGTAAAGCCATGAAATTCTTTCATCTCCTAAGCATTTCCACACTCTATATGGAATATCATCAGGTCCAACAGCTTTTCCACCCTTCATTTTCTTTAAAGCCTCTCTAACTTCAGTTTACTAATACGCCGATAAAAACATAAATCTTTTATTTTCATTTAGGGTGCTAAGGTCACTATAGTCAATCTTATTTTCACAATCTTCATTAAAAAGTTTAGCAAAATATCTCATCCATCTTTGTGAATATCATCTTCTAAGAAAAGTATTTTTTGATCTTCATCTTTAATACACTTCACTTGAACTAAATTCTTACTACTACTCCTTTTGTTTGACTAACTTATACATATATCTTTCTTCCCTCTTTAGTATCTAATCTATTATATAAATACATAAAAACTAATGCCTTGCATCGCATATTGCTTTTCTTAGCATCCTTACGGCCACTTTAATATATTTCCCAATTATCAGAATTTTTAAAATTAAACCAATTTTTATAACAAAGCTTCTTATTTTTAATTTTTTCTTGCACATTAGGATTCCACTACCAACTATTTTTACTATTAGGAGTTTTTCCCTTTGATACTCCAAGGACATCTTTTGCAATATTCTTAATATCACTAGCCACTTTTTCCCACATAATATTAGCATTCTCATGCACAGACAAAATCTTAAGATCTAAAATCTTATTTCCAAAAATATTTTTGTTAATATTCTTTAAATGCTCCCATTTAATCCTAGAAAATTGTTTTACTTTATTTTTTATTTTATGCCCATTTATCTTAAAGTCCAAAACTATATAAGTTAAAATAACCATATGAAAATCATGTATTATTATTGGCGTCATTTTATTAAAGTCAAGAACAAGGACAAAAAGAGCAAAAGCTATTTAAATCAAGGTGAGTACTCATGTCTTTTTAATTACAATAATAATTTTGTTTTCTCGTAAATTAAATGCATTGAAGGATATTATTCATACTTATTTAGTTACTGTCGCAAGTTAAATCAAGTTTTTATATCTCATATTCAATGATTGTTCATATTGGCATAGATGATAACTATTAAAATTTTGTACATATTTTTTATAGAAAGTAAATGAATGTTATGCAAATTAAATGGCTAGATATATGTGCTTGCATGTGCATGTTGAATGCATAAACTATTAATTATGGTGATTCATGAGCTTCAACACATGCGTTGATGTTATGGAGCTTCAACTCATATACTGATGTTTTGTTTCACTACTATGGGTGTATTTCTAGGAGCTCTTCCTCATGAAACTTGAAGCTTTGCATACTTAAAAAGAAGCTAAAATATAAGCCCTTGATCCCTGTTGTAATTTTTTTTTTAATTGTGTTGCCGATTAAAGCAAATGATCGATTGATATAATCATAGTACTATTATGTAACAAGAATGTTGCACATTATATGAGTTGATAGAATGGTAGAGATGAATATATTATAGATTCAATATAATTATAATATTTTATCTTAAATTTAATTAATCTATAATAAAATTAATTATTTAATTAATTGCTAAGAAACAACAACAATAACGTCAAGTCTTTATCCCATTATATGGGGTCGGCTACATAAATCCTTTTTCTCCATTGTCTAATTAAGTGCTTTTCTCAAAAACTACCATAACTACTGCTTCATAAAAACTGAAAGCTAATATTTTAGCTTTCATGCACTGAACTTTTTCTCATAATTTTCATACCAAAGACTTCAAAACTATTTATGTTTTTCAAAAAGTAGAACCAGGCCACAAAAAGCTATATCAAACAAAGCCTAACTACCATTCATACATCAGGTGCTATCCGATGAAGTCGAGCGAGCAAGGTATAACTTGACATACGAGTTCCCAGGTGCCACTGACCAATCAAGGAGAACTTGGACCCTCCATCCCAACCATGACAACAGAAGGACCTACAAATGGGAAGAACTCAAGAAGCATATGCAGAACAGAAGGCAGAAGAACAATGAACCTTCTTGGAGCTATCAAACTGAAGCATACCAAGAGACGAGTTCCTACGAAAGAGAACCCTTCGCCGAAGTTCTCCGGTTCGCCTTCTTCGTTCTCTTCTTCATGCAGACCGTCGGTTGTCGAGCGTCGCTTACGCTCTGTGGAATATCCGCTTTGCTCGACAAGCAATTGGATGCTGGTTATAAAATGGGCTATGTGGTAGCTTGGCTTTTGGGTGGCAGGGCAGGTATCTTACTCACATTATGCATATATTTTGCAAGCTGGCTCTGTGGGAAGAGCAGCAGCAGCATTGTTGCTTTGGTGGTGATGGCAATGTGGGTTGGGGCTAACATAACCAGATTTGCTCCTATTCCTCAGGGTGCAGTTCTTACTTTGCTTTACATGTCTATGAAGCTGCAGGTTGATTCCAAGCAAACAAGGTAAGGACCATATAACTTCTTTTGTTACTTTATATGCTCTGTATATATCTGTAATTGAGGGAGCACCAACAAATTTTTTTTTACTCTATTTCTTAAGTTTTGTATGGCATATTGGTATAGCTTTATCATGCTAATCGTTTTTGTGTGAGAACTGCACAAAATTCTATTCCTTTGATATTTAGGCCAATTAAGACTAACTGACGTACATATCACGTATTCGAACCCAAGACCTCTTAGGCCTCGAGTTTTGGTGAGAAATGGTGGTTCAAAAACTGTCTTTTACTAACGGAGAAGCAAAAATAAAAAGCTTCGCAAATCGGTACGGTAATAGAGGTTTGAAAAATACAGTTTTGTAAAAGATATGCATCCAAACAACAAGCGACATCTTTTTTCACGTTTCAGAACGTAAACGGCACTAATTACGTCCAACCAAACCAAGCCTTAGTTGGTAACTAAAGCTCTCAACCAACAGATCATAGAGAATTACGTGCTTAAGTTTGTTGTCAGTTCAATCTTTTAAGCTTGGCTCGATAAATAAACATAGCGAGGCTTGATGTGCTAACAACTTAATTTAGAGCTAGTCATGACTTACTTATTTAAAATATAGTATTTTAAAATACACTTATATTAGAATCTAGGATTTCAAATATAAAGCTATTTAAATTTTTAAAAATTTATTTCTCACTTTCTTATATTATTGATTCATTATAATTTATCTTTTAATCTATATTATGTTAGCATATTTATATACAAATTGTATCAATATAGACTGTCATATATAATACTAATCCCAAAATAAACTTAATAATATTCAAATTTATTTTGATACAAATTTTATCATAATATCCTAAGTTTTTTTTTCTTAATAAAATGGATAAAGGAAAAATTAGTATAGTTAGACATTTAATTATTTTATTTCATTAATTAACACAATTATTGATAAATTAGTTGAAATATGTATGAATATATGACTAAATATTTTTTGCTGCGTGTTAAAAAATTCGCAATGAAAAAGATAGAATTTTTACATTCTAATTCTTTACAAAGATTTAAACACAAATGACAAAAAAGAAAATAGAAGTCATCTTTACTATAATTCAAATCATTTTCCTAACATTTCTTCTACAAATTAAATCCCAAGCAAAACTCTCTTAAGAGAGTTCAATCGTAATTTACAAAAATAAGATCTTATCTTATATCATTGGCCATTTGAACACACACAAAAATGCCAAAATAATAATAGACATAATTCTTCACAAACTATATGTAATTTCATTCCCTAATTCTATCTCTAACCTCTTTCACAAAAGGCTGAAACACAACCTAGCTAGAGCTGTTAGACAAATAAAGGGGTTTTAACAAGACCTAGTCTTGTTCAAAGACCTCTTAGAACCCTTTAAAAACTCTATCAACACTTATTAAATACTCTAAATCTACAAGAGGAAAAGCATTGAAGACTTTACTAGCAAGAGGATTGGATGTAGGGCTGCAAACGAACCGAGCTGAGTATGTGAGTGTTCATGTTTGTGTTCAATTAATATCAGATTGTTCAAGTTTGGTTCATGTTTGTTCGAGCTTTATTGTTTGTGTTCATGTTTGGTTCATTTAAATTAATGAGTGTTCATGTTCGGTTCATGTTCAGTTCATGTTCGTTCGTTTAGTGCTTATCGAGCTTTAAGCAAACAAACATAAACGAGCTCTACTTTTAGATATTCATTTACTTAACAAACGAGCTTTATCGAGCTTCCTAACAAAAGATTACATCGAGCATGTTCGTGAACTTGATGTCGAGCTCTATTTATATTATTTATATTTCTTAATTCTATAATCAAATATTAATTATTTTTATCAAGCTTATTCAAGAGTTCAAAATCGAACACGAATCAAGCTATGCGAGCTTGTTCACGAAGTTCAAATGATGTTGTTCGCGAACATAAATGAGCCAAACGCAATAGTGTTCAAGCTTGTTTATTTAAGAATCGAGTATTTAAAATATTGTTCAAGCTTGTTTGTTTAATTAATTAAACGATCACGAACGAGCTTTAATCAAAACGAACAACGAGTAGCTCGTCGAACGTTTGGTTCGCTTGCAGCCCCCGGCCCGCCTTCCACGAATGTCCATCGCCATTGTCAGCCACAGGGGTGAAACTAGGAAGTGCTTAATTGATTTTTTCTAAAAAAATAAGCATTTTAATTATTTTGTTCACCTTCAATACATGCATGCAGTTGTCTAAATTTTAAGAAAAAATAAATTCTTTTTTTTTTATTTCATATATAAAATCATGCATATCATAATATTATTTTGTCCACGCTCAAAATCAAGGTTGATTCCACCCTTGGGGCATCTCCAACCGAAAAACCCACTTTCCACTCCAAAATACAACAAAACTTCAAAATGCAGTAATTCGTCTCCAATCTAATTCGTCTCCAATCTAACCGTCTTTCTTCTATTTCATGCGCTTTTTCGGCAAATCCTGAACACATAAAAAATAGTGATGTGAATAGTGATACGCCAATATTGACGTCGCACAGTTCACTCGCTGGGAATAACAGCCAAAAAGGGGCTCGGTTAGATCGTTTGGCGGACGGAAATCACATGTATGTCGTTCGATTGTGAATGATCTTAGTCGACCACATCCATCATTTTACTCTAAACCAAATAAAAAAAATCAGTTGCATTCCTTCTATACCCGTTCGAACAACTTCAAACATTTCAAACAAAATAAATTTCTTTTATTTTGTATTTCTTTTTCAACAAATCAAATAGCTGCTTAAGCGTGCATAAATTTGCCATATGACAGCTTTCAAGAAATGCCATCACAAATATTTTAGAAGATTAAGATTATTTATTTAATTTCATTCATTTCTAATTGCTTTCAGACCTTTCTTATTTTAAAAAATAAAATAAAATATCAAAAATTACCCGGCCCTCATTTTATAATCCAAAAAATAATAAATAAATCCCAATTTTGTAGATAATAAACAAAAAAATTGTTCTTATTGAAGAAAATATTACATGACAAGAAATCACCATATGGCGACCTTATAAAATGAGCCCTCATTATTATTATTATTATTATTAATTGATCAAATTTTCAAATTAAGAAAATAATAATAATATTTTATATTAGTTACACTTAGCACTTGTTGCGTCCTGAAATATTCACGGCGGTAGAGAAATATATAATTTAACGTCTTAGCATTGTACGAAGATCCATCACACAAGCAGATAAGAGAGAGTGTGTAGTGTTCATAAGAGACACTAGAGTTTTTACACAAAAACACCTGAAAATGGGGAAAAACCACGGAGTCTTGCCCAATTTGAATGAATCCACTAGTATTTGCAATTGATTACAAATGAGGCCCGTCCTTGAGAGAAGGCCTTGACTTGATGTCACAAATATACATCATATAGAACGCATTACATGGTGGGAGTTACAATAATCAACATAGATATGTTTGTTTAGTTTGAAGGGTCATAGTCGGCATGAGACAGGGGTCCGAAAGATCGTAGTTGGCCGGAGACCGGGGTCAGAAAGACCATTGTCTGGCGATGGAGGTCGGAATGACCGTAATAGGTGACGGAGGTTAGAAGGATCGTAGTCGGCAGAAGACAGGGGTCCGAAAGACCGTAGTTGGCAGGGCACCGAGGTCAGAAAGAATGTTTGTTTGGTGATGGAGACGGAGGTTAAAAGGACCGTAGTCGACAGGAGACATGGGTCTGAAAGACCGTAGTAGAAGGGCGGTACTCTGGGAGAACTCTCGGCATCAAGTGGTGGCAAGACAGAATTCTGAGTCTCAGGTTGTGGTCCGATAGAATTTCGGGCCTCAGGTGGCCATCGGATAGAAGTTCGGGACTCAGGTGGTGGTCCGGCAGAACTTCGGGCCTTAATTGGTGGTTTGGCAGAAGTTTGGATCTTAGGAAGTGGTTCGGCAGAAGTTTGGGCCTCATGTGGTGGCTTGGTAGAAGTTCAGGCCTCAAATGGTGGTCCGACGAAGGTGAGGGATTCAAATGGTGGTCCGACGGAGCAACCACTTTAGGCGGTGATCCGGGGGAGGTGAGGGCCTCAAGTGATGGTCTGGCAAAGCAACGATGTCAGGAGGTGGTCCGGCGGAGGTGAGGGTCTCAAGTGGTGGTCCGGTTGAGCAATGACGTCAGACGATGGTCTGGCGGAGGTGATGGGCTTCAAGTGGTGGTCCGGTTGAGCAACGATGTCAAGCGGTGGTCTGACAGAGATGAGGGCTTCAAGTGATGGTCCGGCGGAGCAACGACGTCAGGCGGTGGTCCGACGGAGGTGGTGGCCTCAAGTGGTGGTTTGACGGAGCAACGATGTCAGGCGATGGTCCGCTGGACCACCGCCTGACGTGCTGACTATGGCCCTTCCAACCAAACAAACACATCTATGTTGATTAATGTATTTCCCACCATGTAATGCGCTTTATATGATGTACATTTGTGACATCAAGCTAAGGCCTTCTCCCTAGGAAGGGCTTCATTTGTAATCGACTGCAAATACTAGTGGATTCATTCAAACTGGGCTAGACCCCGTAGTTTTTTTCCCCTTTTTAGGGGTTTCCACGTAAAAACTATATTGTCTCTTATGATTGCAACACTCTCTCTCTTATCTGATGGCGTGCTACATCTTTATGCAATGTTAAGACGTTAAACTTCATATTTCTTTGCAGCCGCGAATATTTCAAGACGCAACATTTAGAAAGAGTAAAAATAGCCGGCTTCACATAAAAAACTCTTTATCCGGTTGGGCTAGACAAATTCAAGGCTGGAAATAGCACATCCTGCTTGCTGCAGAAACTAAGTAATTATTTCAAGATAAATTCAAAATATAATAAATTAAAGGACCGTTTGGAAAAGATGTAATTTTTTACTAATGTATTCATAAAATTGTTGTAGGGAAAATAATTTTCTAATATAAAATTTTCTTAATGCAACAAAAAATCAGCGGTCAAATAAAATTGTGGTTGCAATTGGAAAAGCAAAACAGTAAGGTTTTATTTGAAATAATTTTGCTTTGCTTTCAAACCGAAATCATAATTTCTATTTGGTAACTATTCATTCATTGCTTGCAAAAAAAAAAAAATTGTACTAAAAAGCCGCCTTCTACAAAAAATTTTAAAATATTAATTTATTTACATCAGCTTTACAAAGCAGTAAGAAAACTATCCCAAACATAGCCGAAATATCTAAATCATCAAAAATAAATTTTCAAAATTGGTTAGAAAAATTTTTACACATAAAATTAAATTTCACATAAGAAACTTAATATCTTAGTCTTGAATTGAACATTTGGAGGTGAATTAATTGCTAATTTTTCTCTACTTACAACAACATATCAATATCAGAGAGTCCAGACTTATGCTGATTCTATCTGGATTTTGATTATAGGGCTATGTTATTGTTTTAATAAAAAAAATTATGATAGTTACCATTTAATTATGTAATATGTAATATGATGGGAGATAAAATTGTGTAAAAATATCTTGATGTAAACTGAATTATGGCGATAGGGTCAGAGAATTTGTTATTTTAGTATTTATACGAAGATCCACTCAAATATTAGTAAGAGAGAAATTGCAAAAGATATCATAATTTTTACGAAAATACACGAAAAGGGAAAAATCACGGTGTTTGGCCTTGTTTGAATGATTCCACTACTGTTTGTCAATGATTTAAAATGATTTTCTTAATCGTAATTAGGGAGGTGTTAACTTATCAATCAACAAAGATAAGATAAATTATCATTAAGAGAAGATGATCAGAATGCAAACTTAAGATAAATCAGTTATAATATCATTAAGATATTAATGATGTTTAAATAACATTTTATGATCAAGTGGATCAATAAAAATCATGAAATCATTTAAATGACTAAATTATTCTTCTCTAGAATTGTGGAGGCTAGGATGAGGACATAAGAAGGATTCCATGGAGAGAATCTAGAGCTTTGTTTTTCAATTCCTAATGCGATCTGATGTCACTAAGGCTAACACTCATCGTCGCTACCAAGCTTGACGTTCATCATTCCTACTAAGCCTGAGTCTCATCTTCACCACCAAGTATGATGCTTAGCATTGCTACTTGTTGCGGGCTAGAATATACGTGGCGATAGAGTTATAATACTACGTCTCAGCGTTGCACGAATATCCAGCTCACACATAGAGAACACAAGATTTTTTACGTGGAAAACCCTTAAAAGGGGAAAAACCACAGGGCCTAGCCCAATTGAAAAGATTTCATTAGAACTTGAGTTGGTTACAATGAGCTGACTCGCCTCTGAGGGCGATCAGATTACAAATAATAATGGTACAATAGAAGTTCGGGTGTCGAGTAATGGTCTGGCAGGACTTCGGGCCTTTTAGATGATGATCAGGCAGAACTCCGGGCCTTAGATGATGGTCTGGTAAAGATGACAGTCTTCGAAAATGACCTGAAAGATGAGAGCTTTAGGTGAAGGTCTGGCGGAACGTAGGGCGTCCGTTGAAGGCGAGGGCCTCAGGTGGTGGTCTGACGGAGCACAGGACGTCAGGTGATGGTCCGGTGGAGTGACGGCGTTAGGCGGTGATCTGGTGGAGCACAGGATGTAAGGTGGTGGTCTGGCGGAGCACAAGACGTCAGGTCGTGGTCCGGCGGAGCGACGACGTTAGGCGGTGGTCCGGTGGAGCACATGACGTCAAGTGGTGGTCCGGCGGAGCGACGACATTAGGCGGTGGTCTGGTGGAGAACAGGACGTCATGTGGTGGTCCGGCGGAGCGACGGCGTTAGGCGGTGGTCTGGTGGAGCACAGAACGTCAGGTGGTGGTCCGACGGAGCGACGACGTTAGGCGGTGGTTCGGTGGAGCACAGGATGTCAGGTGGTGGTCCGGCGGAGCGACGGCGTTAGGCGGTGGTCCAGTGGAGCACAGGATGTCAGGTGGTGGTCCGGCGGAGCGACGGCGTTAGGCGGTGGTCCGACGAAGGTGGCGGTGGTTCGGTGGAGCACAGGATGTCAGGTGGTGGTCCGGCGGAGCGACGGCGTTAGGCGGTGGTCGGGCGAAGGTGAGGGCCTCAAGTGGTGGTTCAGCAGAGCAACGACGTCAGGTGGTGGTCCGGTAAACCTCTGGCAGTGGACCGGCGGTGGTCCGACGAGACTCCGGTGGTGGTCCAGCGAAAATCCAGCGGTGGTCGAGGAGGCTAGGAAGCAAGATCGATCTCCGATCTCTCTCTTTTTTCCTTAGGCTTAGGGGGTCCTTTTTTAAGAGGAGAGTATGCTCTATTTATAGATTTTGGGAATGGCATGGCCCGTAAATAGGTGGAAGATCAAGGGTAAGTTGGGAGTGGTTGGATGGAGGGCCGATCTTGAATCCCTTGATTATGAACCGTTCGATGGACATTTGAGTATCGTAGCGATGTTGAAATTAAGTGATCTTGGGTTCGTTGGATTTGTCTCGTCGATCCGCTCGATTCGACTATAAGTTTGTTATGTTTGGAAGTAGTTTGGTAATCCAAATTGTGGTTTGAACCTTCCAACAGTGCTTCGGGTCCTTGATTTAGACTCATTTGAGCTCGGATTGGGTCGAATTTGGTGTCGTTGGGTTTGTATTTCTGAGACGCTCAGTTTGACTGTAAGTTTACTGAAATTGGAGTTTATATGCTCCTGATTTTAATTTCAGAAGTTTCCAACTTGATTTTGCTTTGAGATTCGTGCCGGATCAAGATAATTTTCGGAAGATGTATCACTACTAAATCTAATGTTCATCCTCACCACTAATTTGGTTAGACCTTTAGATTATTTTCTTTTATGAGTTTTTCACATAAAAATTATCATGTTTTATATGAGTTATTCTCAATTTATCTTTCTATGTGTGGAGGTTATTATTTATTTATTTATTTAATGCTTAAATAATAATCTTTCTCTCTCTATTGCGGCAAAAATTTGAGAACTCAATGATATATATAAGTTATCTATATATGCATGGAATTAAATGAAGAACATGGGGATTGATTACTTTTAATGTTAGAGAGTTTTCAATGGCATGCTTTTATGATATTTGATCTAGTTGTTCATTTATGATTCTATGACATACTATTTTGTATCTATTATTGTTGTGTCCAGAGTATTCACGACCATGGATAAATGTAAAGCTTAACGTCTTAGTTTTATATGAAGATCCAGCACACACACAGATAGGAGACACCAAGAATTTTACGTGGAAAACCCCTGAAAAGGGGGAAAACCACGGGGCCTAGCCCAGTTTGAATAAATCCACTAGTATTTGCAGTTGATTACAAATGAGGCACTTCCTTGTGGGGAAGGCCTTAGCTTGATGTACATCTTACAGTGTACATTACATGGTGGGAATACAAAGAATCACTGTTTATGTGTTTGCTTGGTCGGAAGAACTGTAGTCAGTGGGCGACGTAAATCGGAAAGACTGTAGTCGGTGGGCAACGGAAGTAGGAAGAACTATAGTCAGTGGGCGACGTAAGTCGGAAGGACCGTAGTCGGCGAACGACGAAGGCCATAGAGGTCGCTGTCTAACGACGGAGGTCGGAAGGAGGATGTCAGGTAAAAGTCTAGCGATGGATAAACGTCCAGCGTCAGATAGAATTCCAGCGAATGTTTGACGACGGGCAGAAGTCCGTCATCAGGTAGAAGTCTGTCGATGGATAGAATTCTAGCGTCAGATAGAATTTCAACGAATGCCCGGCGATGGGCAGAAGTACGACATCTGGTAGAAGTCTGTCGATGGATAGAAGTATGATGAAAGTTCGACAATAGGCAAAGTTTCAGCGTCAAGTAGAAATTCGACGTCTAGTAGAAGTATGATGTCAGTTTACGGCTGGGCAAAAAATTAGAGTCAGTCGTTTGTCGGACAAAGCTCCGGCGTCACTTAGAGGTCAGGACGAATTATGGCGTCACTTAGAAGTCGGGCGGAACTCCGGCACCCCTTGGAGTTCTTGCGGAACTCCGAGGCCACTTGAAAGTCGGGCGGAACTCCGGCATCACTTGAAAGTCGGGCGGAACTCCGACGGTGGTCGAGGAGGAGTTTCTTCCCTCCTTCCCTTCTTCTCTTCTCTTCTCCTTCTTCCTCTTACTTGGGCCCCTCTCTCAAGAGAAATGATTCTATTTATAGTTTTCTGATAGTGGCATGACCAGTAAATATGTGGAAGATCATGGGTGAATCCCTGGTTTGAATGGACAGTCGATATTGAATCTCTTGATCGTGGACCGTTTATCAGACATTTGAAGGCTCTAATAATATCAGAATTTGATGATCTTGGGCTCGTAGTGATTCGTCTCGTCGAGTCGCTCGATTCAATTATAAGCATGCCACCTTTGGAAATCTTTTGGTAATTCAAATTGTGATTTGAACCTTTCAACAGTGCTTCGGGTCCTTGATTTGGACCCATTTGGGATCGGATTGGGTCAAATTTAATGTCGTTGGGTTCGTATTTCCAAGAAACTCAGTTCGACTATAAGTTTACTGAAATCGGAGTTCATATGGTCTCCGATTTAATTTTTTAAAATTTCAACTTGATTTTGCTTTGAGATTCTTGCCTGATCAAGATAACTTTTTGATAATGTATCAATTATAATAAAAATTTGAAATAGATAATTAAGGGTTTATTTGAAACTTCTGTGGTATTTTATAAAGTTGATTGCAAAATTTTTATTGGAAAAATAACTTAGCTAATATAGTTACAAAAATCAGATTTACATCCTAGATAATTCTGCAAAGCAATGAGAAAGCAACAAGAAAGTAATGATTCGCCTGGGACAATTTCCTTATTATTTTTTAAAGTAACTTTTAAATACAATATTTTTTTGAACTAAATATTTTTAATTTTTTATACTAAAATTTTATTTTAGAAAGTAGTTAAAAGCTGTCCCAAACGAAGCCTAAGAGCCAAATAAAATAGTAATTATTGTTTGAAAGCAAAGCAACCAAAAAATTATCCCAAATAAGCCCTAAATCGACATGATATATAGCAGAATTGATTAGGGGTGTCAATTCGGGTCAACGGGTCAGGTTCGGGTCGAACCTGGAACTGACCAGGCATTATTCGCGTCAACCCAAACCCGACCCATTTTTAAAAACGGGTCAGGTTTCCGGACCCAAACCCGACCCGATTCGGGTCTGGGTCAACCCGACCCGACACAAATGACCCAGGGTTTGACCCAAAATTGCTAGTTTTTGGGTTAAAAATCGGGTCAATCTTTGATTTTCAGGTCAAAACGGGTCAATCTCGGGTTTTCGGGTCAAATATGAGTTTTCGTGTCACTTTCGAGTCAATTTTGGGTTGCTGGGTCAACCCGAACCCGACCCGTTTCGGATTTGAGTTGACCCGAACTCGGATTTTTCCGGGTCAGGTCAAAAATTGACACTCCTAGCATTGATTATCATCACAATATACGCACAATTACTTGATAAAATAATATCAACTTTAAAGTATAATTATATTTTGAAAATGATTTTGGAATTAAATACATATATGAGAAATCATGTTTTTAAATGGGCATTTATATATAGTTAAATTATTTTTCATTCAACATTAAAATTGATAAAATTTCTTCACATATAATTTTCATATTATAGATCAAAATTAATCTTATAATCTTAAATTTAAGATCATATAAAATGATAAATATGAATCACATCTTTATCAACAAATGCAGCATTAAGATTGTTAATATTGATCATAAGTTCAAAATAATTTGATGTTCTAATTTATTTTTTAATAAATTTTATTTATTGATCAAATGTTATGAAAAAAATAAATAAATTTTTTTCCATATATTTTTAATCAAATATATTAAACTTATTTTAAATATTTTTTACACCCCCGTCGCCTCCTCCCCTTCGAAAGTATCGAAACTCCTCCGCATCCCATAATCCCCCACGCCGAGATAGACGACCTCCGCTCCGATCTGGAACTCGAGCGCCGCCTTCGCCGAGACTCCGAATCTCTCACAAGATCTCTCTCCCTTGAGCTCGCAGAGGAGCGCCGCCTCCGAGCCGAGGCCGAGGCTGATGCCGCTCGCTGCCGGGAAGCTGCCGGCCGCGCTGCGCTAGAAGCCGAAGAAGAGCGCCGGATGCTTAAATACGCCGACGCGTGGCGTGAGGAGCGGGTGCAGATGAAGCTCACCGAGGCCGCGATTGTCCTCGAGGAGAAGATGCGGGAGATAGCGAAGCTTGGTGTGCCCAGATCTAGCGCGATCGATTGCAAAGGGAGCCAAGGGAGGGAGAATCTGCACTTCAAGAAGGGCGTTAAGGGGTTTGCGGACTCTCCGAGGACGGCAGGCAAGGTTCGGTCGCCGGGATCGGTGAAACAGAAGCAGCAGGTCGACGGGAATTTGGAGTGTCAGAAATCTCAGCTTAGGGTTTTGCTAAGGCAGAGGAATACTGTGAATTTGGGGATGGTGGCTGATTCACAGAGGTTAGTAGTGCGATGATTTCCATCTTTTGTTGATCGTCGTTGTTGTTGCTGCTTCAGCTGCTGCCGCTGCAGTTGCTGCTGCTCATTATTGTTTCAAAAAATCTGGTACCTGTTGTGGTAATCGTTCTTGTAAGTTATTGGCAATAAAATTAGCCCTTCTTCCAGTTAGAATTTGGATGTAAAATTGCAACCTGTTTGAACCTAACTTAAATCATTATAATCTGAATCTCTTTTTCATCATTTTGAATTATTCTTAAGGCAATTAGTTTGGTCCTGCTTTATGATTCCTCATCCTTTTTTTCTTCAGTGCTACAATATTTGGATGTAAAAATGCTAAAATGGACTCTAAGGCTCCGTTTGAGATAGCTTTTTTATTGTTTTCTAAAATAATTTTCTAGTATAAAATTTTTGTACAAAAAAATTGCTTTAGAAAGCAGTAAGAAAAGCTAAAACCAATTAGAATAATAGGAATATCATCATGATCATTAATCTTATCCCAGCTAGTTAGGCTTCATTTGTGAAAACTTTCTTAATTTTATTTTTCAGATTGCCATCATAATTTTTATTTGTCTACTGTTTTCAAGAAATTTATGTGTTAGAAAATTGTGTTTTACAATAATTTTAAAAAATAAAAGTTAATTTCTCTACAACAGTTTTACAATCATCTCTACAAAAAACTGCAGCTATCTCAATTAGATCCTTAGTTTCAATTGTGCGGATCTTTCTCCTCCTTGTTTTGAAAAGTTTCTTTTTTAAATTTTACATTAGTAGAACAATATTATTTAACCATCAAACAATTTTTTTATTTATAATTTTTAGTTTTAAGTAGCTATCATTGTGCTGTTGAAGTTTTAACCTATCTCACAAAAGTCAGAGGGATCAGGATGCATGGAGATGGAGAGTCCAGAGAGGCTGTGGTAATGGAGAGTAAAATAAACCTAAAAATTAAAAAGCAAGTTCTATTTGAGTACATTTGAGGCTTAGGGCATCTCCATCCGAACTACAAACATCCATTTGCAGCTACTACGAGCCTCCACCGCCAAAAGAAAACACATTTTTGAGGCTGTGAATAGTGTGACACCATATTAGCATCGCACTATTCACAGAAACCTATTTTTTGGCGAAAATAAAGATGATAAAGAATCTATATGGAATGTTCTTTTTTGGTGTTAGAAATGATGAGTTCGGTTCGAGATGAATTACTGTTTGATATTATTATTACCGCATTTTGAAGTGGAAAATGTTGAGTTCGATTGGAGATGCATACCCTTATTGAAAGGTCTATTAGTGCCCTTCTCGCCTTCACCATAATTAGCCTTATTCTAAATATCTAAGATTATAACAAGAGATACAACAAAAACAAAATCAAGTTTTTATCTCATCAGCTGGGGTTGGCTAGATGAATTCTTTTTCTTCATTGTATCTAATTAAAAGTCAAATTTTTATTTAAATCTAATTAAAAAAAAAAGATAATTTCAAATATTTTTTAACAAAATCTTTAACTTTAACTATTTAAGATTGATTTTGTGAAATCTTTTCTTTATTCTTTCACATATTAATTTACATCCAAATATCATGAATTTTTTTTTTTTTTAATATGAATCATATAGATAAGAGAAATACTTATAATTTCTCCATTCAAATCAATTATTTAAGGTTAATTCAAATGTATTAGGTCAGCTATTTTGAATTTCACCCATATAAATTTGGTAAAGTCACATTGTATCATTTAGATATATTGGATCATACCTACTAAGTTGACTTGAAAATAATACATAAATGGCTACAACTTACCAACTTCAAAAACAACAAGAATAATGGTACTATAGTTGTTTCCTAACATCTATAATCTTAAATAACAACAAAAATATCACATTATCATTAGGTCAAGGGCTTATCCTTCTCATGATGTTAATCTAAAGTAAGATCCCAACATATATAGGGAAATTTCGTGGGTCATTTTCCTCGCATCTTCTTCATCGTCAACTTTCATACGCATTGGTGAGATCTCACCGCACATTTTCGCTCCTCCTTTTCATCATCAAAATTCAATGTTCATATGTTGCTAATAAAATCATGTTGCATATTCCACACCTCTTTTTTTGTGGTCTAGGATCTTAGGATTTTTACGAGAAGCGACGATATTAGCGATGTGTTCGATATAGCAAATCATTAAATTTATGTGTTGAATATGTAAATAAGATAGTTTTAGGTGTTAGATATGTATACCTACACAAGGCACTTAAAAAAATGAAATAATGACCTGCCATATTTCAAGAAGTAATTATGTTTAATAAAATGAAGATACAATGTTGAGTGCCACTTTTGTGAAATGTAAATATATAAATTATTATGAACAATTGGATTTATATATATAAATATATATAGGCTAATTAAAGCAAATTTATACACACATCACATATGCAGGACTCAAATCCAATACCTTTTGGTAATTGGTGGTCAAAGCTCACAACCAACATATCAATGTGAGCTACTTAACAATTGGATAATTGTTGAGACAATTTGGAACTATACTTCACTCTTCCATTTTATTTCCCATTTTCATATTTTTAAGTGATTACTTTATTTAAACTTCATTTGATATGATTTATATATATTTAGTTTGTTATTATTATTAT